AAAGAAGAACTAAGAGAAAATAAGAAGAGGGAATGAGAAAAATGGAACAGAAGTAAGAAAGTAAAGAGGGAAGAAATAACTAAAAAAAAGACGGAAAAATTTCGAATTAAAGTTTATTAATATGAAAAGAGATAGGGACATAAAGAAGGAAGGTACAAAAGACATGTGAGGAAGAGTGATTAAATAGAATGATAGAAGCACATAAAGAAGGAAGGCAATTTGAAATTGATAATGTAATATAGAAAAGAATAAATAAATCTGAAGAAGAGAGTAATGAAAAGGTAACGAAAGAATGGACTGAATTATCGGGCAAAATATCAAACGGCGAGCGACCTCTCGCAGTCTTCTCCCGTCCGTCCAAATCCTGTATCGCTCTTCAGATATCGTAGCCGCCAGCATCCCTAATACAAACTTTTACAATTCAGTGACACTGACGTCAAAAGTGCATTGTGTAAGAACAAACGAAACATCTGCACAGTACTTAAAGTACTCCCTTGCAATCCATTCAGTAATTGCTTAAAGAAATCTGAGCCGCGTCCGTTACCTTGGCAACAGGACATTCCCCATCACTCAGGCCAGTCGGCTTCTGACACGTATCGCCCTTTCATCGCGACTTCCCTTTGAGTTCTAGGAAACCGTTCTCCATTTCATCTCCTCACACTCCACCGCCCATTTCACCCCACCGTGTGATGTCAGAACCTGGGGATTAATGGCGGGTGGGATTCATGTCGTCACGAGACTTGTCTTACATCTGAGGAAAGCTTACAGCTCGTAGCACCTTCCCTCGTGTTGAAAGGATCGTTTCTTTTGCAAGAGCATCCATTAGACGTTATTCAAGAATAGGCAATGAAAAATCTGTACTTCCTCTTAGCACACGTATCGTTACGAGAAAATTTCTCCTAAACTTTGTAGGAAATATCACCCAAATAATCTATTCAACATGAAATACACGTATTTTTGTTATACGATTCGATTTGAAAGTTTACAATTCCATTTCATGTACGTTCACCTGTCTGTATCATTCTATAGACCACATGTTTTTTTGTGTTTTTCTATATACAGCGATCTATACAACTATATTATTGGCTCAAGTTACTCACTAGTTCACCATTTTCTTTTATTTGCATATCCAACAGTGGATCTTAGAATTCTCTCTTTTTTGCAGATTATATTCTTCTTAGATAACTATGACATCCTCCTTGATTGGATTATCGTAATAATATGTGATGAAAAGTAGCTCCTTGTGCAGTGTTCTCCAGTTTCCTCTTACTGCCTGAATCATTGGTTCAAATATTGTCCTAGCGTGTAAGATTTGAGGTTTTCACAGCGGTGAATATGAAGATTTCTGTCTTCTGGGTTGTTGCGCTGTGTAGTCTGGTCGATGTTAACCAACGTTTCAGAGGTCATACTGCCTCCGTCATCAGGGCGATGAATAT